ACTGGCTGTGGGGAAGCCGAACCCCGCCAAGCTGGCCAACTTCCTGGAGGTGGACATCTTCGTCCTGGTGGCCTGCGCTCAGAACTCCCTGCTGGACTCCAGTGACTTCTACCGGCCTGTTGTGACCCCCTATGAGCTGGAGCTGGCCTGTAACCCAGCCCGCGAATGGACAGGGAACTACCTCACTGACTTCCGAGACCTGCTGCCAGGTAACAGCTGGAAACCAGCTGCCCAACACCTTCGTGGGGCATGTCCTGCCCTTCTCCCCTGCCTGGAGGCTGCAGTTGCCCCAGCTCTGTGCCGGCCAGAGGATAGATGTGAGCACCAGGCTAATGTTACCATTTTTTGTGCTTGGGCGCAGGTTGAGCGCCCACCGGCTGTCCCTGCAGCGGAGGCCATTCCTGACATCTCGCTGATCACAGGGGAAATGCGTGCCACCCACCTCTGTGACCCCCCGGCCCCTCAGCTGCCCCCCAGCACCACCCTGGCCTGCAGGGACCAGTCGCGGGCCCTCGCGGAGATCAGCCCTGCTGGTTTGTGATGGGTTTTTGTGGTGGGGCTGAGCCCCGGTGCAGGGGAAGTGCTGTCTCCCTGCTCTCAGTAACAATTCCCTTTCTCTCTCCTCCCAGCCTCCTTCCTGGAGTCCCGCAGCTGGCGGGGCCTGGAGCAGCAGCTGGGGCAGACGCCCGTCTCCAAGGCTGTGCAGGGCCGACGAGGGATTGCCATTGCCTATGCGGACGGGCGCAAGCAACCCTGATTCGGCAGTAGCGTCGGCACCCAGCCAGGAGCAGGGGGCGTGCAGGGGCGCGGGCGTCACTTGTCAGCGGGTGTCGGACCTGTGAGGGTGTCACGAGGGTCCGGACCTGCCACCAGCTGGCCCCGTGGTGGATGCAGCCTTGGGTCAGTAGTACTGCAGTGGGAGAGCAGGAGTTGTGTGGGTGTTCGGGAATACCCGCGGCACCCCGGGGTGGGTGGCCAGGGCACCAGCAGGGCCAGGAGAGGCGCTTGGCCCAGACCCAGACTCCGAGGGCTCCCCAGTCCAGGGCAGCTTTGGCCCTACACGGGAAAGGTCACGGCTTCGCACGAACTGACAGCACCAGGACTCGAGGCTTATGTGGGCTACTGCTGCTAACTAAAGCCGAACAGAAAAGGACTTGTGAGTGAATTATCTTCTAGAATAAAACATGGGCTGAGGAGTGCAGGCAGGGGTGATACCAGACACCCCAGAGTGAAAATACAGATCACGTTTCTCACTCTGGTGTCAGCTAAAACCAGCCTGAGACAACAGCAAACCGGAACTGGGACCCCCAGAAATGAAACCACATTCACAGGCTGGACAGGCTGGGCTGGGGAACTAAGGCAAAGGGGAGAGGGCTCCGAGTGTGAGCAAGCCCCTCACCTGCTCCGATGAACAGGAGTGGGGCGCGCACATCCCGTGCTGCAGGGAGGACCCCGCGTTCGGCAGGGATGGAGTCTGGCCCCTCTCATGTTGGGCAGGACTGTTTCTGCTCCATGAGCTGCTCAATGCCGGGCAGGAGAGCATGGTGAGCAGGGGGGACATTGGTTTTTGCCATCCCTCCCACAGCCAGTGGGGACAGGAGGCTTTGAGGCATCCCAACCTTGATTTAACCCCCTCTGCTGGGCTCTTCCCCAGAGGCAAGGGGCAGGCAAAGTCCGGGCACCACAATAACGACAGCCACAACATAGAAATATTCTTAATATAATTAGGTGCAGGGCCTCCCCCCTCCCAACCACACACGTACAAACGAGCAGGGGGCGAGCCCCCCCGCCCAGCCAGCCACTGCCGCAGGCACAGGGGCAGCATCCCCGCCGCAGCGCACGGGCACCCACGGGAAGGGGAAGTGCCAGGGAAGGGCAGGTAGCCTGGGCATGGGACAGCCTGTGCTGGGGCAGTCCTGCCCAGGCCTCCCCCTCCCCACTGCCGCCTCCTGCAGCCGGCACTCCCGTCCCCTGCGAGGGGGGAGCATGCTGGGGGGAACAAAGATGCTGACACGAGATGCGGCCACCAAATCTAGCTGAGGAGCGTCCCGAGTGGGTTAATTCTAGGTGGAGGGTTATTCTACGAGCCGTACTGCAGCAGGGCAGGGAGGATGGGGGGGCTTCCTTGCAGGGAAGAGCTCGTCCAGGCAAATTGTCCGCGGTCCTGGCCAGGTGCTCAGTAGTCTGCTGTGTACTCCGTGCCATGCAGCCCTCGGCACAGCAGGGTGAACTCCTTCACCATCTCCTTCACTCGCCGCTTGTTCACACGCTCTCTGCTAAGACAGAGGGAGGGGACACACATGAAGCAGGAGGGACAGACCAGGTCATGCAGAAGGGTCACTCCCACTGCAGGTGGGGCAGAGCCACCACAGGGAGGGTTGCAGGGGTGCACGAACCTGAGGATCTGCTGGCTGAAGGTCTCCTTCTGCTCGGGACTGACACGGGCCGAGGGGAAGCTGTCCTGCTGCATGGCCTCCTTGATCCAGATGCTCAGGTAGCTGAAGCAGTGCTTGTTCAAGGCAAAGAGGATTTCTGCGAAGTGATCCATGAGGCTGCGGGAGGCCTGGCCACCGACACCCTGCCACAGAGCAGACAGACCCTGCTGAGCCCCCAGCATCACCCTGCCTGCACCCACCCACGCTGCCGGGCTCTCTGCCCCCAGCTCCTCAGGAATAGAGCCCAAAGCTGCCCGGGGACCCTGCAGTCTTGGCGTCTCTCACCTCCAGCACTGCCTGCAGCAGCACTTTGCCGTTCTCATGCACGACCTGTCCCACCGGAGCGATCTCTCCGCAGCGGGGCAGCAGCTCCGTCTGTAACACAGAGCCCAGCTTGCTCAGTGCCAGAGCAAGCTCCATGTTGCAGTGCCCTTGCCCGTCCCACAGCCCCACTCCTGCCCTCCCGTCCCTCAGGGGGCTGCAGGCCATCCCCTTGGGGCTGCACCATGCCACGATACTCACAAAAAAGCCACAGGATGCTTTCACCGTTGGGGCCTCAGGGAACTTGAGCGAAAGGACACCTGCGGGCAGAAAGCACTCAGGTTAGCAGGCAGAAACCCCGCACACCATCCCAAACCAGCCCTGTGGTCCCCAGCGCCTGGCTGGTCTGTGCCCAGCTCCGCAGGGGGAGCAGGCTGGCTTCGCCACAGGGCAGGGGCATGCATGCCCATGCCCATGGTACTCACCACACTGAAACACTGCTTTGACATCCAGGTTGCTACACAGGAAGAGGTCTGGCTTCCTTTTCAGAGCCTGCAAGGCACACAGACAGGCAGCATAAACCCAGTGCTGCAGAGGCAGCCAGGAAGCCTCCGAGGAACCCAGTGCCCCAGACAGCTTCTGCCTGGATGCACACTTACCTGGGCACACCCACAGTAAACGGCAGATTCACACAGTACAGCAGGAAACCATCACTTTCCACCCCCCCAAGGAAATGTCAATCAAACAGCCAGGCAGTTTACTACACTCAGGGACTGCCAACTCCAGGACCTGAGGATAGATGCCACGGCGGCGTACACACACAAACACTTTGGACGCAGAGACAGGACAGATGGCTCCTGTCCCACCAGAGCAGGCCAGGCAGCAGTGCTCCCAGGGCGAGGGCAGCAGAGACCAGCCACCTCTGTGCTTTGCTCCTCTCCTCTTGAAGATGCTGGTGTCCCTGGGGTCACAGCAACTGGATCAAGCAGTAACCCCAGAATGGACCAGCAGCTAGCTCTGCTTGGGCTCCAGGGCACAGATGACAATGAGATGCTACCATTGCTTGGCAGTTCCTGAGCAGCAAGTCTGAGATCAGAAAAGTTTTGCTTTTTCATTGTCACTTGGCAATCCCACCAGCCACTGTGGGGGTCAGGCACTGCTGCTGGGGACACCCTGAGCTGTGGTACCCCGTGCAATGGCTTGATCGCCCCTGTGCTGGCACTGGGAAATTACTTGGGGGAAACGTTTCAGTCTGCACTTGCCATTCCACAGGAAGAGTTCTGGTGACATCCGTGCCCTGACCACCATGCCACCGTGCTCACTGCTGCAGGCCAGCACTGGGGATGGCAGCCATGTCTCCTGCCCTGCTGTCACTCCAACACTGGAGACAGCAGCCACAGCGCTGGAGTGGCCCTGCTCTGTGCCTGGAGCTCAGACAACAGGACACCAGGGCAGGCAGCCCTCGGGCTGAGCTGTGTACAGGGACACTGCCTCCCTCCGAGCCTGCTCCCAGGGATGAAAGCAGGAACAGCTTTCAGCCAGCAGTGCCCAGGACGCCTGGCCATCTGCCCATAGCCATAGTCTCTACTTGGAGCAAAACAGACTTATTTCCCACCCCTTCTTCTCCAGAGAAAGCCTACAGCCATCTGCCTGGTGCAGAGAACATATGCTGCAGACTAAGTTGAGTAGCAGGTTTCAGGGTTACCCCATCTCCTTTCTGACTTTGTATCACACGCTGCAAGAGAGGACTCGGATTTGGTCACTGTACCAGGCGGAGGGGGGCACAATCGCAGGGACCTGCTTCCCTGCTAGATACAAGCGGAGACCTTCATGGGAGCCATCAGGGGCCATGTTATACCTGTGTGTGTACATACAGACTGTGTGCACCATCCCTTCTGACACGCTGGCACCAACATCAGAAGGCTAGCTAGCGGATGGGCAACGGTTTAGAAACACATCCACTCATCATGGCTGCTGCTGTCTAGTTGGCTCCATACCAGCCAATGCTTGCAAGACACATTGCAGTTTTCACTGTGGAGGACTACCCCCACTGCCCCCAGCCCTGGTCTGGCCTCCAGAGTGGTGACCACAAGCCTCTCCCCCAGCAGCATGCTACTCGAGGACAGCTGGCTCCCGTGATTCCACCCAAACTGCAGGTTCCTCTACCCTGCCCATCCAAGGGGCTGGTTTTAACCCATGTCCTGCACGCTGCAAGACTGTTCAGCTGGCACACGGGTCTTCCAAAGTGCTCAGGTTGCCACCTACCTGCATGATGCTTCTCCCAGCCAAACCAGACCCACGGCAGCCCCCAGGGTCTCCTGCAGGCTCGCTGCAGTACCTGCTCCTCACTCTGTCAGTGCCATGGGAGAAAAGTGTCCCCTGGTATCGGGAGACCTCCATCCTGTAGGACATCTCCACCAGGGGAGCACAGAGTGCAAGCTCAACCTGGGCACACGCCTAATGTAGACAGAGATGCTTTTTACCCCATCAGATGGGGCCCTGTGGAGCTTCTCCCGTTAGTAAGCGGCACCAGGTAGGTCCAGCTGCTCTTTCCCAGCACCAGGAACCCTGCTCCAGCTCTGGGACCTCTTAACTGCCAGCCTGTCCTCCCTGTCTCCCGCCAGAGCATCTCTGCTCACATGTTCTGGGATGGGGACAGGTCTTTAAATGCTTTCAAATGTCCTCCCACATCCTCTGCTGCAGCAGCCACTGCAGAGGTAGGCACTGGCTCTCTGGTGAGGGCTGTCTGCAGGGTGGCACAGAAAGGACGTCGGGTTCTTCTCCATAGCAGCTGGGAGAACCCCGGACAAGTCTTCAGAGCTGGCTCCTCTTCTGTGCCTGGCTCTTCAGAGACATGCAGGCAAGCATGGAAGGGACACTGAACCCCACTCCTCCAGCAGACAGGGGACAGTGGGGGGCTGCATGGCCAGTTTCTGCAGCTCTCCAGAGCACACAGATCAAGCCCTTGTGTCCAGCTCCACCACCTCTTCCCAGACCACATGCCTGGCAGAGCAGAGCCTCCAGCTTTGGAAAGGGCGCATGAGCTTGGCCAGGCAACAGGGCCAGGGAGGAGCAGTCAGCCCCTGCCTGCCAGGGAGAGGGGATGCCAAGCCCGCGTCCTCCATGGGGCTCTATGACTCCAGCTGCAGCAGGCGTGGTGGAGAGCTCAAGGACTGCTGCGTGCAGCCTGGACCAGCTCAAGAAGGGAAGGAGGTGGGAGACAGCGGTGGCTGAGCCATCACAGAAGGTCAGTCCAGCATCTTCTGCCTGGCAAGGCCCTTGCTTGCCCAGTCTGCCCCTGGTCTCCTGGTCAAGGGAGGTGACTGCAGCGCTCCCACGGTCCGTGCTGGCTTGGAGCCCTGCCAGGGTGGGTGGATGTGCCTGCAGCTGTTGGTGGGGAGGCAGGCTGGAGAGCCCCAAAATCCTACTTGCAACTGGGAGCGCACACACTAGTGATACCTGCTGGCCAGGGACTGGGCAAGAGCTCTGAAACACCAAAACCTCCTGCCTGGGTTTGCATACCAGGACCCGGGTGCAAGCCCCAGCTGCCGCGGCTGTGCGATCCTGGGCATCCTGGGCACAGGTGCTCCGGCTGCGCGGGTGGCATTGAGCCCCGCAGCCCTCCAGGCGGGATGCTCACCTCGGGCACAGCAGCAGCGACGCTCTGCACCATTCCCAGCACACAGTGGAGGCGGGAGGGGAGCGGCTGAGGACAGATCTCACTGCAAAGGGTGCCGGCACCACTCCACGCAGCCTTACAGCAGACGGGTTATTTTATACTTAGCTTTGAGTAGTAACAATAACTCCAGGGTCTCTGGCATCTGTAAGACATTTGGTTTAAGCCAGCATGCTCTTGTGATCAGCCAGCCGTCGTCAAGAGTGGATTGCCAATTAACAGAGTGGCAAAACAATCAGCTGCACCAACTGGGCAGTCCCACGGGCTGCAACCAAGCCCAAATAAATATACTGTAAAGTCAACTGAAATCCTGTCACAAGAGAGATGGCTCCCTGTAGAGGAGAGTACTTGCTGGCAGAGGGAGAGGACAAAAACACTGCCTGCAAGGAGAAACCAGACAAATTTGAAACAGGGAAGATAATATTTCCACCAAGGTGATCAACCACAGGAACAGACGGTCAGGGAAGTGGGAAAGTCTCCACCTTGACACACTCTTGGGTCCAAACTCGCTGCTGGAAGATGCATTACTTGGCCAAGGGCTCTGCAGGCAAAGCAGGCTGGGATGAAAACACAGCCCCTGACACATGAAAATTGGATCTGAAGAGATCTGCAGTTCTCTCCAACTTTAATCCATGGATCTACAAATGCTCAACAGCATCACCACAGAGCATGGTCCTCTGGAAAAGGACAGGCTGGACCCACCCCTGCCATCAGACAGCTCTTGAAGTCCTGAGAGCAAGGAGCCAAGCAGGGATGGCAAAGCCATTTCTTGATGGGTTTCAAAGTACCCTGACAGATCATCAGTCTGGGAAGAGGGGCAGACCAAGGAAGAGGAGGAAACCTTGAAACAAGTCCTACGCGTGAGGAGAGAGGACAGGAATGGGATCCTTTGGTCTCTGTGGGGTTGCTGGAATAAAAAGCCCAGGAAAAGAGGTCTTAAGTGGCTGTGGGTGGTGGTGGGCTGGCAGCACATCAGGCACCTCGCAGTGATCCATGATGGAGGTAGGAGCCTCTGAGCTGCTCCTGTAACAGGACCTTCAAAGGACATGGGCTGTCCAGAGACTGGCATGCCAGGGACCAGGCTGGCTGCCACCACGCTGCCCCAGCATTGCCTGCAGATCCTGCCCATGAAGGCAGCGTGTAACAGCTTCCCAGCAGCCGGGATGGGTGGTGTTTGCTCTGACAGCACACCCCACGGAAGTGCAGCACGGTTGCACTTTTCTCTCCAAGAAAGCACAAATGTGCTGTGTCCAGACAGAGAGAAGGACCCCAAGCCAGAGAGAAACTCAGCAGTTTGCAAAGAAACAACAAATAGCCTTGGAAGAGTCTCTCATGGTCACCTAATCCCCCACCTCCCCGGGCAGGATCACCTCTACGTGCCCTCCAGGAGCAACAGGCTTGTTGAGTCCTTTCAAGCCCTCCAAGCAACAGCAGCTCCCTGAGTGACCTTCCAGTGCTTCCCCGTGCTGTTAGAAAGATCTCCTACTGCCTAACCTGGATTCTCTTCCATGACTTCCTCCCGCGACTGTTTGTCCCAATCAAGGAGAACAGGAAAGGGGTTTTTACCTACAACTGGGACATTACCTTTTACGCACCCCAAGACTCATGCAGCTCCTCAGGCTCCCATCAGCCTTTCCTCCTCACCATGTGTACAAGGTGGTCATCTTCCCAGATGCTTTTCTCTGTGGTCTCTGGTCTATATCTACAGAAACGTTGTGCTCCAAACTGGGCACAGTGCTCGAATGGAGGTCCTGCCAGGGGAGGAACTCCATGAACTTCACGCACAGACCCCATTCACCAATTCTTCCATCACGTTCAAAACCCTTGTTAAAAGGTCACAGCTTCTGAAACCGGCATCGGCAAAAGCTGTGAACGCTTTCCAACAACCTCGATTACATTACGTCTTTCAAGAGGAAAAGCAGGGAAGAAAACACTGCAGTACAGCTTGCGAGATGCGATGGGTCTCAGGGGCATCTGGGCATCAAGGTGAGACCCGTGAGTAGCAGACCTTGCCCGGGCAGGTGAGGTGCAGTCCCCTCGCCCGCTCCATCCCGCAAGACCCACACGAGGGCCAAGCTGCCATCGGAGGAGGCTGACGGCTTAGCACCTGGGCATGCCAGGCACCCTTCCTGGGCTGCTGGCAAGGGCAGGACGGCCACAGCTCTGGCAGCTGCTTGGACGGGTGTCCCTGCACAGCCACCAGGCCAGCACGTGTGGTCAGAGGTCTCATCATTACAGAAATGAAGCAGAAAGCAATTTTGCCAGCCCCTCCTTGCCACCGACCCACCCTCTGAGTAGGTGCCGGGGGATGGATCTCCAACAGGGGCACTGAGTGTATTGAGGACATCAGGGCTTCTCCCTCAAAGGCCACGGTGGGCTGAGGAGCGTGCCGGGCTCGCGCTGCTCCCAACAGGTGTATATACACACAGAGCACAGCGCTGGCTCCGCCTGCCCGTTTCACGAGTGCCAGCCCCGCGAGCCAGCCTGCGGCCCCCGCCACACCGACGCAAACTGTCCCTGCGTGCCACCAAGCCGGAGGCACGGGAGCACTCCCAGGCTGCAGACACAGGAGCTGCCACCACCCCGAGAGGCTGGCGGGGGTGAGGCAGCGTGGCACCCTGGCAGGTCCAGACGCCATCACAAGCACGCTGCTCAGAGCCAAACCCTGGCAGCTGCCTGCTACCGCGGGCAGGGGCTTCCTCCCACCGGCCCCGGAGCAAGGCAGCCAGCTCAGCCCGTCCCCGCTCTGGAGGACCCGTCTCAGGGCAGGTAAATGGGTCGGAAAACATCCACTCAATGCTCTAATTTGTCACCCGAGGGTGACCGCGGCAGCAGCCCCAAGCGCCCTGCATTGGCAAGGCGAGGGGCTGGCAGCTGGAGGCTGCCCTGCAGAGGAGGGCACTGCCCTGGGGATGGTGCAAACCCAGAACTAAAGGAGAATGTTTTGTTTTCAACTTCCACGGAAACAGATGGAGAAACTCGATATTCAACTAAAAGGAAAAAAACGTTGTCAACAGAAAGCTAAAAATAGGTTTAAATTGAATTAAAAAGAGAAAGAGAGAGAACAGAAAGTGAATGAATAAGAAACTAAAACACACCTGTGCCAGGAGTTGCATAAATGAATCAACAATATCAGGATGATCCCTGGGCCCTAAAATATAATAAAGATGTAACTTAAGAGAAAAATCATACAAACAGCAACTCAACATCATATAGTTATGTGATACAGAAAGAATTTACAAGTGAAAACAGGAGTGTAAGGGAGGAGGGGTGTGTGGGGAAGGGGATGGGCAACATGAGCAGCTTGAAGCAAGTTAAAGAAACAAAACATACAAAAAATCATGAAACTTGGAGAACCCAAGAACAGAAAGAAACTGCAAAGGAAAGGGTCTGAAGCCCCAGGGTCTCCAGCTAGCACCTGGGCGCTGCAGAGCCAAGGAGGAGATCTTCATGTCCTTGGGGAGGAAGAGGAGGAGGAGGAGCAGGGGCTAGCTGGGCACCATCTCCACAAGGAGAATTAGAGCTTTTGCACTGTGGGGACTGAGCGGGTGTCTTCAGAGCACCGTTTGGTCCTGGAAGATAACTGCAAGTGAACGACAACACCTCAGCAAACGCTTGACTGGCCCAGCCGGGCTCAGGCGTGCACATGCTTGTCACCAGCACCAGCTGCTCAGGAGCCCCTGGCACAGTCGCCCTCCCGCCCCATTCCCAGATGCTCTCCGTGACGCTGAGTCCAGGACCCTTCTGCAGGTCTCCTCCAGCATCCTCCTGGGAGAGAGCAGCTCAGTGCCGAGAGATCTCCATGCCAGCACCACTCACCCTACCTTGGCATCTGACTCTGTGCACAGACACGTCTCGGCCCCTGCGGGGTCAGGCGTACCCCCCTCTCCTGCTGCCCGTGGGCTCAGCAGAAGGGTCTTGCCCTGCTCAGGGCCGGCCGCCCACCGGAGGTGACCCAACGGGGTGGGTGGGAGCACAGTCCTGGCACACAGTGAGCTGGACGGCCGCTTGCCTGAGCAAAGCTCGCGTCCAAGCATTGGCACAGCTCGGGCTCTGTCCCCTCCCCTTTCCTCCTGCAGACATGCCTGCTGCTGCCCGGAGGCATCGCCGCCTCCCGAGGTGCCGAGCCAAGAGGGTTTCAGCGTACACGCATCCACACACCACTGGCAGAAGCAGGGACTTGATCTCCGGGTAAGCCCAGCTCGCTTGCCACTGACCCCAGTGACACCTCAGCGCAGCAGGATTTGCTTGGACCATGGCGTGATGATGAAGCAGGGGTCCCCATGCCTCCCCCACTTCTCTAGAGAGCTCTGAGCCTTGTACTGGGGGGAGGCATCACCCTGCCCAGCACCCAGCTGTGAGCAAAGGACAAGACCCCTTGGGGACTGTAAACAGAGCTGCTGAAGGACCAGAGCCAGCAGCTCCAAGGTACATTTGCCCCCATCATGGGGCAAGTCACCAAGCGGCTGAGGGGAGCCATGGGGGGGTCTGTCCTAACTCCGTTCGCTTTTTGTAGTGCAGGCAGTGAGCCAAAGAGGGGCCCCTGCCCTGCGGGAGGATGCCAGCATCCTCAGCATCACAGCAGTGACTCGGTGGCCAGCAGTTCCTCTGAAAAGGTCCTTTCCCAGATATTCACACACACATGCTCCTGCTCGTGCGAGGGCTTGATTCCTGGCCATTATGAGCACCGCTGGCCCTGGGAAGAGCCCCAGGATCTGCTAGGGAGCGCAGCCTCCCTGCCAAGTGGTACTGGAGCTCCGGCTCGACCCTTACAGCACGCAACGCCCAGCCCTGCTGCAGAAGCAGGGCTGTCACGGCAGTCCAAAGTCTCGCCTGGGAGTTTCCTGCTTCTGCTGCCCTGCAGGGAAGGTACCCACCTTCCAGGGATTGGGATGAATCCAAGAAACAGAGATGGCCCCATTAGCTTAGCTAGGAGTGAAAACAGCCATTCCTGGTAAGACGCCTCCAGACTCCATGCATGCAACAGCCTGACAACAGCCCCAGCGCGAAGAAGGGTTAATCCCACGTACCTTGCTGGAAGAGGGTCAGCGTGACTGAGGTAACGAGCAAGAAGAGGGCCTTGATGGGAGGGAAGTGGGCAGGCTCATGGGCAAAGATGTGAACCAGCTGCAAGAGAGAGAGGAGGACTGAAGCTGCTGCTGGCCCTGTGTGCCCCCAGCCTCCCTGGGGAGTGGCAGCCCCAGCCCCGAGCGTGGCTCCGTACCTGCCGGGTGAGGTCGATGGCAGAGGCCTGGGGGATGGTGCTGTACATCTGCCCCAGCATCTCGCACAGCTGAGGCACCATGGGGGCAAAATCATCCAGGAGGGTCTTCACGGACTTCTCAAAGATGGCACAGACGGACTGCGGGAGAAGAGGGACCACATGAGCAATGGGCATCTGGAGACCTCTCCTAGGGGGTAGGGCTTGATGGATGGGTCCCAAGGGAGGGAAGAGCTGGCAATGGGGATGGGGACCAGCCAGGCAGAGGGCTCAGACCTGCACTGGTACTGGTGCCCTGCCCTGCAGCACAGGATGCTCCCAGAGACCGGGAAACGCCCTTCCAACTGCAGCAAGAAGGCTCCCTGAGGGCCAGGGGGAAGAGTGGCTGGTGGGACACTGCACCTGGGCATTACTGAACTGAGCGAACTGGAGAAACACCAAGTGACAGAGGTCCAGGTCAGAGCAGAGCTATCCCCTTAGGGAATACAGGTTTGGCAAACCTCCATCTCCCGTCTCCCTGTTCATGGCAGGGCCTCTGAAACTGGAGAGGAGCAGAGCTGATGGGGGCACAAGACAAGAATGGCTGGATGCTGCTGGTGACAGCAAATAGCACTGGTCCAGACAACCCAGCAAGACACCCCTCTAACAGGGCATAACCCAGAGTCTGTCCCTTGCTGTCCCCAGTTCAGGGGACAGAGGTCAGCAAGGACAGGCAGAGCTGCAGGCAGCGCACAGGAGGAGCCCGGTTACCTCTACCACCTGGGCATCATTCAGCCACTTGCTGAGAACCTTCTGTATGAGCTGGAAGACTTGCTGCAGAACGACCACCACCTGGAAGGAACGAGAGGGACTGAAGAGAATTGGCCGCCATGGCACTGTGGAGGGGAGATTCAAGACTAAGCACTGCCTGGGCTCAAACCTTCAGGCACCACTGCCTCCTCCACCCTGCGAAGCTGAGCTTTCTTCCCTGCTGAAGCAGCCTGGCACAGCTCACAGGCAGCACCTGGGCTGTCCTCCAGCACCCAACCCCCCTCTCCTGGCACCAGCAGTGAATAGCGAGGCTTTGGCCAGGCTGTGGCAAAGAGCATCGAGCTACTGCTGTACTCACTGGGTTGGGTCCTTGCTGCACTGGCAGCTTCTTGACCTCGGTGCTTTCGTGGTCATCATCGTGGTGGCTGATGTCTAGGGTGGTGAACAAGTTGGAGAGCAGGCCCAGGATGTGGATGATAGCCAGCTTGTTGGAGGGATTGGGCTGCCAGGGAAAATAAAGCCAAGTGTGACATAGACCACACTGCTCAATCACAGTCGTGCCTTTGGGATGCTGAAGCATCAAGACTGTAGAGGCAAAGTGCCAGAGAGGTGTTCCCTGCACTCTCCTAAGCCCATGTTCAAGAGTGCTGCTCCAAGACAGCAGCCCCAGGGCTACAGCCAGTGGGAGAAGCCACTTCTGGAGGGAGGTAGCACGAGGGCACTCACCGTTTCGTCAGCCAGCTTTTCCAGCTGCTGGATGTAAGGGGTGATCAGGGAGTGCAGGTTCTTCAGGATCTCCTCCACTTGCAGCGCAGAGAGCAGGAAACCAAGAGCCTGCATAAGCCACATGCACTGGCTTGTCTGGGACAGAGAGGAGACACAATGGGGTAGGTCACTGCACAGCCTGCAGCCCTACCACACACATGCTAGCTAAGACAGCTGCCAGGGGCCCAGCCAGCAAAGCCAGGACCCAGCATGCTGCAGGTCCTGAGCTGGATCACTGTAGGTGCATCTCACTGCAGGAGAGGGGAGCAGCTCCCTACCAGCATGGCAGAACCCAGGGAACAGGCGCTCTGCCACCAGCACACCTGGCCTCTTCCCAGCAACCCGCCAAGGAAAGACCAGTTGGTGCCCAGAGGTCTCCATGCTGGCACCACTCACCCTACCTCAGCACACCATCCTTTGCACAGACCTGTCTCAGCCCCTGTGGGGTCAAGCGTCCCACCCTGTCCTGGTCATAGGCACGGCCTGGGCTCTGTCCCCACACTCATCTCCCTCCTTTTTCCTCTTGAAGACATGTCTGCCGTCTCGGCATCCTTGGGCTTGGAGGGACTGGGAACTGCCAGAGTTAAGTCTCCCTGTGGGCTTCCCTCTCTATGGGGACTTATCCCCCAGCACGACCCCAGCCCACGTGCAGTGGGAGCCCGGCAACGCAGCGAGAGGCAGCCAGCAGGTACTCCTGCCCCGCACACGATGGCTGCAGCACCGAGCTCTCCTCCGGGGACAGCCCAGCTCGTGATGGCACCCCTCGTGTCTTCAGCTGAGTGTGACTAATGAGGGCAAGCAGGATCAGCCAGAGGTGTGAACCAGCCCCTCTTACCTTGTGAATCTGCTTCATCAACACCTCCTGCCGAAGGGAAGGGGAGAGAGAAAGAGGAAGGTGAGTGCTGCAGAAAGCCCCTTCCCTTCCAGGAGGCAGGACTGATGCAGGAGTTCAAGACAACTGACACCAGTGTGGGCATAGACAAGCGGCACGTGGCTCTGCGCAGCCTCCCCACAACCCACCGCAGTCAGGGAGCAAAATCCTTGTCCCCTGGCAAGCTCTAGCCCCAGCCAGCCCCCTCAGCCACCCAGCGAGGGGAGCCCCTGCCTCGGACAGGCTCTGCAGCAGGATGGCTTGAGGAGCCAACCTCAGCCAGGGCTTCCTCACCCCAGCGATGGTGTCCCCCAGGCTCTAAGAGCAGAGGCTCATGCCCTCCACCGGCCCCTCTCTGCTCCCATGCACACCCCAGCCCTCCTCCTAGTGCCTCGGGACTCCGAGTCCCATCTGTCCCAAATCTTGAGAGCCAAGAAAGACCACGGGATAACCTGCCTCAGCACTGCAGGGACTAGCTCAGTCTCCACGGGGAGGCTTGAACACCAGGATGCCCCCCAAGATGCTCAGCAGTGGCACCAGCTGCCTGGCAGGTGCAGAGCTGGCAGGATGCCGCTCCCAACAAGGCAAACAAACCCCGGGGGAAGGATGGATGCCCAAGTGGATGCAACCCCAGTGGACCCCCTTGGCAGTCGTGTCTGCCACTGCTTGCCTTTTCTGCACTCACAGGAGGATACAGGGCCTGTCACCTGGGTCTACTGGCCTAGGAACAGGATGCACAAGTCCCCCACACCAAGCAAGATGTCCTGAGCTGCTGCTTTGCGTCCCCCTGCCCTGATCCATACGGAGGAAAGGGTTTGCACAGAGCACATCCCGGCTCGCCACCACACGTCCATCTGCATCCAGCTCCTACCTGCGACACAGCAACAATGTTGGCGGCATAGGGCGGCAGGTCGTACTTGCACTCCCGGCAGATCTTCTTCAGGGTGGAGACACTAGAGATGGAGAGCTCAGGGTTGCCCAAGGCTTGGAGCACCAGCGGCAGCACGTTGTTAATCATGACGGGGTGATCAGCCAGCCACTCCGACAGGGCCCCTGCGCACACAGACGGGATCAGACCACAGGACTGCGCCGCGGGCTCTTGCTCCCCGTGTTCCGGGATGCTCTGCTTTGCTTTTCGCTGCTGTTATTGCTGGGCAGGAGCGGTCTCAGAGGGGCTCCCCCTCCCCAGCCCAGCCTGCGCGTGAGCAAAGGCCTCACCGATAGTGAACATGACGGTGTCAGCGAGCTGCACGTTGCTGATGCTGATCCGGGGAATGAGGCCGATCAGCCCCGGCACCACATCGGAGTAGTTCACATCGATGGTCTCAGCGATGGACTGGAAGCCGTAGAGCAAGGCCTCCGTGTGCTGCCAGAGTGGGAGACTCACCGTCAGAGCCACACGCTGACCCTCGATGCCCACCCTAGCCCTAGGCACTACCTCAGACCCCCAGCAGCAACCGAGGACAGCGCTAAGGACAGGGAAGCAGAAGACGACCTGTTCCTCCTCCCAGCAGGCCCCAGAGAGCCCACAAGTGTGCTGGCAAGGTGGTCATGCTTCTCGCCTCTATCACGTCCCTTTGCTCTCAACACCCTGTGGCAAGGATAGGTCCCCGAGGGGCTGGTGCCATCAGCCTGGTGCCTGGGTCCCCTCACTCACCTGCCACGTGGACGGCTGCTCTGTGTTGGTCAGGAGACGTCCCAGTTTGTCATAGAGGCTGCTCAAGAGCTCAGCACCCAGCATCTCATACACATACATCAGCGTATCAGAGATGTCCACCCTGCAGAGAACACGGAGGGTCTCCAAACGCTGCCCCCATCCAGCTGCAGAACGCTGCAGAACGCTCCACGCTTGGACACGTTACTTCTCCCGCTGCCAGGCAGGATGCAGGCACTGCCTGCACAAGGACACCGCCCCAGACCAACGCGGAGTGATCCCAGGCTTCCTAGGCAGGGCAACTGGTGCCATGCCAAAGCACCAGCTCGTTTCCACATCACCACCACAGCCAAAACAGCTCTTGGTGGGAGGAATCTCCTCCATATCCCTCCTTGGGTCTCCCCATGATGCTCAGGCTCCAGGGAGGCAGGATGCTGCCTGCGTCCTCGCCTGCCTGACAAGCAAACCCAAACCTCCCAGCTGTACCTGTATATCCGAAACTGCTCCTTCTCATCCGAAGACCAGAAGCCATATTCCTCATCGGAGGGGAACTGGGCTTTGTGCAGCAGCACATCCACCAGCTGGAAGTAGACAGGCCTGTAGACCTGCTGGTACACCGCCTGCTTGTCCGGCTCGAAGGAGAGGATGTCGTCCTGGCGGCAGGAGGAGGAATACATCAGGTGTTGCAGAGGAAAGAAAATGGAGCCAGCATGCCTGCTGCACGGGGGGCTCAGGGGCATCTCCCAGGGCTGGTGGGACCTGTCACACCTTGGAGGTTGCATTTCCAGCTCCCCAAGGTCCACCTGATGCCGAGCCCTTCTGCAGCGGCAGTGTTATCTGGAGCCAAGATGTCAGAAGCCCCAGCAGCCAGGTGGACCCTTGGGCGTTTGAGGACAGCACGGTTACAGCAGGTTACACTGCCCTGCCATGTCCTAGCCTCGGGAGCACGCCTGCATCAGGAGCACGTATGCCTCGGACCCTTGCGAGGCAGGCTAGGATGGGTGCCTGGGCAGCACAGCGCTCTCCTGCCTGCACCCGTATCCCCAGACCCATCCAGAGAAGCAGCGAGAGGAGGTAGGAGCCTCGGCCCAGCCCTGCGCAGCAGAGGAACTGCCAGCATGGCGCCGACATCGCCCCCCTCCCTGCCCACGCTCAGCCACGCTGCATCAGATTGCAAAGGAATGGAGCTGGAGGGATGAATGGGGGCTAAAAATAGAGCACGACGTGGCAGGGCTGCTCTGCTGGCGCAGGGAACACTGGCCATGGGAGAGGGACCCCCCACTGGGCAGCCACTAGGAGCCCCCAGCCCTCTCTTTCCTCCTCCACGACCGCCACCCCGGCAGCAGAGTCTAGCCCGCAGTAAGCTGGCACATGCTCTCCTCCCTGCCTGCGGCCGGTGCAGCCGTGCAGCAAGGAGCTAAACAACCAGGTCTGTTGCTGGAAAAAAAAAATTAGG